ATGGCATCACTGCCGTGTACAAGTCGTCAGAGGCATGCCCCTGCAAGGGACAGACAACCAAACTTGGCCTCACTCGCAGGCAGGTGCTCACTCGCTCCTATGACTTTCACTATCAAAGAGAGCTTCAAGGTGCCGCAGGCATTTACTGCACAAGTGACTCCTCCTGGCAAAGTGCAGAGATTCCGGCTGGAAGCATCTGCAGGCTCATTACTACATGAGAAGGAAGCTTGTGAGCTGCCAATTTCTACAGAAACCTTTGCCCTCACTTGGCTGCTTTAACAAATGTGCCAGATGTTCAGGGAAGTGAGCCCTAGCAAGCAAGAGAGCTCCAGTTCACTCATGACAGGCAAAAAACCAGCCTGGAATCAGCCTCAACGCCAGGCTGTGATGGCTCGTTTGCATAACTGCTGCGTGCAAATTCCTCTGTTTCAGGAAGCATCTACGTTCCATGCAATACAGAAATCTCCAGCTTTCGACCATTATTTTCACAGAGAAGAGCAGTATATGGCCAAACCTTCCTCCCCCTATAATTCCTCTGGTACTTTGGGTATTTGGGAAGAGCTTCTGTCACTGAGAGACCTGGGGTGATGCAGGACAGTACAACAGTGGGAAGCAGGCAGGGTGGATCACAATACGTATGGGTAATGTCTCTTGGCAAAAAGAACAGCCCAGGAGAGAGTGTAACTGCTCTGAGTGACGGTCCATGAGTAATCTACCGCTGGGGAAGCACCAGCAGTAGCCGTTTCATCAGAGGACGGGTGCCTGGAAGTCTCAGCAGGCTCTTGCAGTAATGACTGCAAGTCAGCACTGCCAGACCAGTCACCACGGATGCACAAACAACTCACATCTGTGACCCTTCTGCAATAATCATGGGTTCATGCAGGCTGTGGGACTTCAACCCATTTCCTTTCCACTTGTACACTGACATGTTAGGTCAGCATGGTGCAATAATCCCTGCTGCTAACCATGTCGCCTTTCTCCATCCCATACTCCTTTTCCTCCATTTACTTGCAACAAGTGCAATTATTTTCTCCTTCAGTTTATTTGAATGCTTGTCAAATGACTGAAATCAGATTACCAGGGTTTTAGTTGCTCAGACTGACCCACCTTTCCCCTTCTTAAAGACAAGTCTATACTCTCCAGTGATACAGTACTGCCCTAACTTGCTACAAGACTTGCAATTTTAGTATCCTTTTTCTAGATCAATCTTTTCTCTCAAGTTTTTATTTGCTTCCAGATATTTCTATTTTAGTGTGAAACAAAAAGCAGTTGAGCTTTTACTTTTTCTTTGGTCTATATGCCACTACTCCACTTTCTGGACGTAGTGCCTCCCAGGGTACCGAGGCATCACGCAGATCTCCAAAAGGCTGTTCCACCAGACTGTATGTGACACGTCAAATCCTCTGCCTCACCATTCTGCCGCTGCTTCTGCATCACACCGATTCTTTTTCCTTATAACATCTCCTGAAAATCCTCCTCTCTACAAAGCAATTATCTCTTCCTCAGTATGCAAGTGCTGCCAAAAGACTAACATAACACAGAGTAAATCCCTCTCAGCTGCAGGGAGAATAAGCTTATCTGACCACTGACCCCAGCAATAAATAGCCATTCGCCTGTCATTTACTCTTTCTCAGATAAACTCCCTTTGATTTCACTTACTCGAGAGCGGACTAAGCAAAGAGCCTAGTACCTGGCCCAGAATCAAGCAGGTCCAAGCAGCTCCAGGTCTGGTGTCTGAAGGAATTCAGGAAGTCTCATACCCCATCTGTGACTGTATCATGGACACATATAGTTGCCATCAACCCTCAGGAGCAAAGGAAACATCATGGCAGAATTTAGCCCATTTTTTTGAGGAATGTGACCACTTCCCTAGCGGTCCTGTTCTTTAGCAGGATGCTTCCATTTCCCTTATCTCTGTTCTGAGGTCAGACTCCTGACTGTAACCACTGGTTTGCAGCAGGGATGAAGTCTTGCAGAGGGACAGGCCAAATGTCAGATAAGGAATAAGCAACAGCGGCATACAGAGCTCCTAGGTGAAGCAAGTGCCTCTAGATGAATGCAGGAAAGGAAGAAACTCCCATTTCTCTGCAAAATCAGGCAAGAGAGAAACAGAAACTCTCCACAGAGAGTACTGGGCAAACATTTATCATTTTAAACTTACCACACACCGATAAAAATACTAACACTCACTACTAGAACAAACAAACGCCTACATCTTATTCCCACAGCACTGTTAGCTCTCCATCGGGTCATTTCTTCTAGCTAAGAGACAGCACTTTTTGCATTGATTTCCACTAGAGAAAGCAGCTGTGCTAGCCACCTGCTTGCAGCTAAAGCCAGTGACAGCAAAATCTCAGCCTCAACCAGAGAGAGATCAGACTAGAGAGGACAAGACACACGTTTTCATTCACCTGGACTGCATCCTGAAGTATTCAATGAAAAAAAAAACAGCAGCCTCAAAACCAGCAACGGATTCCCTTTGGGAACTTGTGTAGCACAGGTATGGTGTCAAAGACTTGAAAAATAGACAAAAGTAGTGCCTAGTCTTAAGGTGGCAAAAAACAAGGAAGAGAGTTGATTTATGATTTCAGTTCTCAGAATAGCAGGATTAATATCTATAAGCACCTGAAAAAAATAACAAAGACTGGGTAGCAACCCAGGTGGATTTGTCAAGGGCAAATAATTATTAAAAAAAAGTATTTCTTTGTACAGGAAAAAAGTATCATGGGGAGAAGCAAGACATGAACTGGAATTCAGTAAGGCTTCTGACATACTACTTTCACAAACATGCCAAAAAATATTATTAATGATACTACTGTGATACAAGTTCAGAAGTGGCCAGAAAACTATCCAGGAGGAGTTGTCAGTGGGTTTACTGTAGAAATGGAAGGATGTTACTACTTTGGGGTCTGTATAAGAACCAACTTTGATTAGTGTTTTCATTATCAACCTGGATAATGGAGTAAAAATATGTTTATTAATTGCAGAGGACATGAATCTGGAAAGAACGGTAGGTATGCTGGAAAGTTCTGCCAAAGAAACTTGGCAAATTGGAGAAGTGTTCTGGAAGAAAGAATTGGTAGGCTCAAGTGCATGGTGCTGCTCTTTGGCAGGAAGAGCCAACGGCTCAAGCACAGGGTGCAGAGCTGGGGAGGTAGCTGCTCTTCAGTTCTTCCTGAGACCTGGAATCTCAAGGAACTGGACATTCACCTTCAGGCCCATGCCACTGTGGAAAAAAAAACAGCGGATGTGCAAAGAATGAGAACTGTGAGGCTAGTGAAGTAGCTGTTTGCTCCTCTCTATTTGCTGTACTCCGTACATTTTTGGGCACTGCTCTTTAAGAAAAAGATGAATCAACTGCAGGCATTCAAAAGAGCAAAAAGAATTAAGAGATCTGGAAAACATCACCTACAAGAATTGAAAATATGGAGTGTTTATTCCAAAGAAATGAAGGATAAGGAGCCAACCACAAAAGCACTGAAGTAACATGTAATGCAAGAAGCTCAAGTTCTTTCTCCTCTCTGCCAAGCTGGGTACTGAAGCACTCAGTTAATACTATTGCATCGCTCTCCTCAGTCTTCTGGCAAGTTTTAACAAATTATTGGCTGCATCTTTCCAAGAGCAGGGGACACCATATCAGAATCTAGTGGTGACCACATGACTGCAAGCAGCCGGTGGAAATTTGTTTTGAAGTAAACTGATCCACCCTTTGAACTTCAAGCTAAACACTAGGAGTCCCTACAACTGCATTCAGGTTGCAGGGCGCTGCCACTGCCAGGGCTTTCCCTTGCTCAGAACGAAGAACAAGAACGTGACATAGACCAAAGAAAATTCCTTTTGACTCAATTATTCATGTTACGAAAGCCATCTTGTGCTTGCCTAGAGGCTGACAGGTAACTTCATCTGTCTGGTATCAGGAAAATAATTGCAAGTTGGTGCCAGTGTGAGACAAGAGCAAAGTAAGAGCCCTTAAGGCCATCTATGTAACAACCGTATACAATTATATTCCCGGACTGTTTCATTCTGTATATGGTGAGCTGCCCACCTCCTCTCTCTGTTTCTAAACATACGATATGACATCCCATCCTCTGAACATTAATCTGTTTGTCTGGTTATTTGTTGAAAAATCATTAAAGAACATTTGAAAACAGGTATGTAAGATTTGTAAAACAAGAACTATACCCAAATAGAGATCACTTATTCTGGATTTCATGACAACAGATAAAGACAAACCATCCACCGAGTGAGAAAACATTGATTACAACCTGATTCCATTTAGGATGGGTGAATTACAGAGAACAACCCTGACTAGTAACAGGTCCATGGTACTTCAGAAGGGCACTAATGTAACTGATTTGGACAAAATATTTACATGGGGAAAGCGGTGGATTCACCATTTCAGTGTTTTAAAATTAGACTCGATACTGTTCTTCCAGGTGATACTGTAGCCAAACACAAATCATGAATCTCAGTAGAGCAATAACTGAGCAAAATATAATGCCTTGTGCTATTCAGGAGGTCACAATAAGTCTACAGATTGCAGCCTTTTCAACAAGTTGTACTGCTGCTGTCTCCTCCTCCTCTCCTGTGCCATCACATCCTTAATCCCCAAACTCCCATTTCTTCCCCTTGCCATTGCTCTTTTCCTTCCTCTGCTCTTAGATCCTAAGAGTCCATAAAAGCCATGCAAAAGCTGGTCTTTCTATATACTCTTTGAAATGAATAAAAATTAAATTCATTGTTCATAGTACACACTAACATAATCTTGCACAGAAAGCCTCATCTGTGATGCAAGGTCTGGTCACAGACAGATGTCTTTGTAAAACATATTTAATTAAAGCTGAAGTCCATGGAGGTAAAGAAAGCCTTCACTTAAATGCAGCAGGACTCACAGAGGAACTCTCCTTAGACGAAAATGTGGCAAATATGACTGTGGTATCATGTCTGCCCACCATTTCTAATCAGGCAACCTTCACAATGTCAGCTGACAGTGTTCTTACCACTTTCTCCTTGTAAACAATGTATTTCAGCCACTTGAAATCCTGCCATTTGAATCCCGCCAGAACAAACAGGGAATCCTTCTCATACTGCTCCATTTTCTGGATTGCACCTTCAGGATATGTGATCCGGAGAGTTGTCTTGCCACCCACATCTTTTTCAAAGCCCTTCACTGGAGCCGAGTTCAGCCTGCAGGGCAACCAGAGAAGACACTGTCATGGATTCCCACTTACACTCATGCATGTTGATGATACAGCAATCACTGCTGGGCAAGAGCTCTCTATACGCAGCTGTTACAGCAGCAAACATTAACTCTTGCAGTTCTACATCACAAACATTTATGAAGCTTTATACCAAGTGACAATAGTTAAGGTAGAAGCTATTGAAATGATTCCATTGAATATAATGCAAACCATTTCTGCATATCCACTCCTGTGATTTAAACCGCGTTGGAAACTTTGGAAAAAGAAACTGAAAAATATTGTCCTTGCAAATTTAGACTTACAAACTAAGCATTAATATTTTAACATCCCATCACTTCTGGGATACCTTACTTGGATTCTGCAAGGCTGGGCTGAAATAGAGGATGGCAGTTTAAGCGTGCTGAAACTGGTCTCCTGCTCCTACCCCAGTCCAGAGCTTACACTGCTCATCTTACCTGCAGTGAGATTGTTTAGGGAACTAAGCCAGCTAATAATGTTCAAAAAAACCAAAGGAACAATCTCCACCTGGTTTAATTCCCCAAACTGGCCCATCCAGAAGGCGAGCTGCCCTGCAATGCCAGCTCAAAGGAAGAGCTGGGCAACACAGCTGGGGTAAGGCTCAGCACCACTGCAGTCTCAGTGACTTGGAGGAGTTTCTGCTGTGGAAGCGCATCTCACTCTGAAAATACCCAAGCAGACACACAGCTTTGCTCTTGGGCACACTGATTTCTAAGGGAATGCTACATGTTTAGCTGTGCTTTTGTTAAAACACTCCTCAGGCACAAAGTTTCTTCCCTTCAAAAAACAAACTGCTCTGGCATCAACAGCAATGATGACTTTCATGACACTAAAGTTATTCAGAACTTCTATTCAAAACTAGAAACCCAAAGCTGAGGAAATTTCAAGTAAATTGGAATACAAATCCTGCTGACATCAAACAGCAGCCCCTGATGGAACAGCATTGCCTGCTTGAATTATTGCAGCCTTCTTGACTTGGGGTAGTTCAATATACTGGAAAGTGCTTATCGACTGCAAATTTTTCCATGTAGGAATGTTAATGAGGATCTGTTTCTCTTTTTCAGCCCAAGTAAGCATTTTAGGTGGGAAACCTTTTAGTAGAAGAAAATCTCTGTATATAAACTGAAATTCTATTCAGAATATAATGTATTTTTAGTAAAAAATACTTACTTTATCATTAGGAATAAAATATTAAAGGGAAAACAACTTAAGAATCAGACTACCACAATTTATACAGGAGATAAGGCCTTTTTTCCTGGTTTATAAACCCTCGCTTTGTACCCTGACTTTGAGGTATCCAGACCTGACCGCCTGCAAAAACAGTGCTCCCAGCCTGCCCGATCCCTTGCTTTTTCCTCTGTTCCTGACGGCATGTTCACACATCACTCACTTCTGCTACAGGTACTATTCAAACTCCAAGGCGTTGTGTCTCTTTGGGGTAGATGACCCTAAATAATGTAAAAGCATGTGGCTCTAAAGGTAACAGAGATAAATACAACAAAGAACTATGTAAAGAAAGCTAGTTACACATATTTTCATCTGTCTTCTTGAAGTTGGGGGGAAGGTTAGCATCTGCAGTCATTTCAAGTGTCAATGCGTAGCTCTTTGGCAGGGTTTTCCCCATGCCCAGCCGCTGCTTCACTGTTTTGCTGCTTACCTTGTTAAAGGTCCCAAAACTTGGGACCTCTACTTCGTATCTAGACAGGAAACTAAACAAACCATTTCCCCAAGTAAACTGAACTCAGGTCTCCAGCAAAGGGCCAGAATGTCAGTTGCTGACAGAGTCATAGTGATGGAGTCCTGCTAACGAGCCAGCACTGTCAGCCTCACGATCAGTGTCCCAGGAGCAGCGCAGGCAACGGAGCAGGAAAAGTTCTGGCAGCCACAACCTGTGTTCACGACGGTGCATACTACACAGCTCGAACCTTTTCTCAGGCAGGACACGCAGGTGGTTATAAACACAGCTAAATCTCAGAAAACCTCAGTTAGGATGCCAGGCCTCCTCGTACCGCCCATGGACAGGCAGTTTTCTCCATAAGAAGTTTCAAAGTGTTTTTCTGTCTGTGTCCGCTGATGACATAGGGAGCTTAGAGACCCTAACTCCTAACCTTGGCACCATGAAGACCCTCTCACTTATAGCTGAAGTATCATTATCAGGTGAATCCCTATCTCACTCTAACCAGGAATTTCTGATACACACTTGTTTTTCCCCTGTATGCAATCTATTCTAAGGAGGCATTTCAGAGCACTGATAATTTGACCGCTGCAAGAAGCTCCTGCGAGGTGAACAGTGTGACAGTTGGGAATAATGTCTGCACTGAAATCTGGTAATAACCAGTTAAAGAAAAACAGTAACTAACTCACTCCAAGCTGTTTTAGAACTGTCAAAGCTGATCTGATTCTCCTCACCTCAAGATTAAAATTTCTTGCTGCAATTAGTGGTTCTCACATGATCCACATACTGCTGGATCACTCCTTTGTCCACAAATGTACCACATTTTTCCCCTTAAAATTCACCTCCTAGGTCCAGAATCTGATTCTTCAAAGGAGTTTTGCAGCCCATGAAAAAGGATGCTATAACACAAGGGATTTCCCCAGCTTCTACAGGAGTAAAGGAAGCAGTTGGTTACATCTAAGAAGTCTGCTCTCATCTCTGCAGTCCTACATCCAAGCACCTGGCTTCATTTAACCTTTACAGTTGACTTTTCTCTCCATTATCCATCCCACAAACAGCACAGGTGCTTAGCTGCCCTCTTATCCTCTCAGCTTGCAAACTGACTTAGATTTACTGATGTGGAGAGAAAGGTTGAACTTTCCATTTGGCAATTAAATAGTGGACTTTCTGATGTAAATCTTAGTGGGTGGCTTAGTCCAGATGGATTGAAACTGTTCTCTTGCTATTTTTGAACAGTCTGAGCCCAAGAAAAGGCTGTAACTGAATTTTAACTCACCTCAAATAACTGCAAGTCACCAGACTATGAAGAGTAGTAAGAGCTCTTTGCTAACAACTGATAGTGCGATGAACTAGGAGAAGGGCTGTAAAAGTTTTATCCTGTTCTGAACAGACATCCCTGTGTCCAGAGCACTGCCAGGGAAGCAGGGAACCATTCACAGGAACAAAGGAATGAAAGTGATCTTCTTGGTCTTTTTGTCCAGAGTTAGAGCGTATTTATTACTCTGTATATATTCTATTCTTTCCTCATGTGCCCATTACTAGCACATGGGAGAGAAAGAAGACCATGCTAAATGATACCTTCACTGTGCCTTAAATTCTTTTACTAATCCCTTCTTTTCTTCCACCTTAGCTAAGAATTTGCTATTTGCCACCACATCTTGTGGCTGACTAAAGTTCTGAAAGATGATATCAGCTACATTCCTTCTAATATGAAATCAGTTATCTTACTAAGGAAAAAAAAAACCAACTTAGACTACATTAAACCAGTTTTTATAAACTTACACTGCGGTTTATCCCACTTTTCCTATTTAGCATTGTAATATTTTGTTACTCATGATTCAGAATCTGCTATAAAGCTCTGCATTTTTTTCAAGTCAGACTAATGGGTCTGTAGCTCCCTAGAGCACATCCCTCCTCCCTCCTACACACTCTCTCTCTCACTCTCCATTAGTACAGGTATTATGTTTGTTAATCTCCAGTCACCCAGAACACCTCCCTGACTTGACAGATTTATTACTAAGAGTTATGACTAGACCTGTGATTTCACATATCAGCACGTTTTTCAAGCATTCTGAGATGGCGATGATCCAGGTCCTCAGCAAACGCAAGAAGTCCTAATTTTGACTGTGGTCCTTTCCACTCCTATGCCACTCTGCGTCTCCTCCCTTATCCAACATCATCATCTGTAGCGAAACAGGGGCAAAGTATTTACAGTTTCTAGGGTATGCCTACAGGTGTTTAAATCATTACTGGGTCCTCACTCATGGAGGCTTACTGCTTCCTAAGATCCTATGCTTCACCATTCTTAGTTCTTCCCATCCTAACTGTGAAGCATAAGTCCCGGGGAATGCTACAAGCGTATCACCAATAATACTCCCCTGAGCTACCTAGGGGATATATCTGGGAGCAGATCTAACAGTATGTTTTACTGCTTCACCACCTAAGGGCATCGCAAAAGCAGCAGCTTTTAGAAAGGAGTTATGAAGAGAAGGTTCAAGTGGGATCATAGGAGAGACCACATTCTCAAGCAGCTGTGGAAAAGGGAATGCTTGAGGAGTGCTTTTACTCTTTGATGTGATCACCATTCATAACATTTATATGCTCCTATTTCCCCCCCCCCTCCATATTAGTTAATGCTTCTATACAAATGGATATTGTCACTAGTGTAGGTTAAACATTTGGTTGCACAGCATGTGAACTGATACAGAAACTGAATATATGATAAGAAAACTGTGATGTCAAAGACTCACCTGACAACAACATCATAGTCATCAATTTTTAACCCCAATGACTTATTTGCAAGTACTCCACCATTTCCCACAATAATACATCGCCGGCAGCTGAGACTGTGGAAGAAACAGAGGAAAGAGGTGATTTTTGTAACATAACTTCAAAACACACCAAACTACACATATTTAGTTTGCATCTGAGAACTACAGAAAACCTCTTGGAATACTAAGAATGAAGAGGACAGAGATACTCTTGATCCCCAGCTCACCCCATCACAGCCAGGCATCACACGTGATAAACTGCTTTCAACACCTCATACTACATATGGCCTAATGAGATGAGCTGTGAGGACAAGCAGCTCCTCTACCCCCACAACCCTGGTATGATGGGCTTGAATCAAACCCATCTGTTTACTTAAACCTTCTCATTATTCATTTAGCACTGAAATAACAATAAACCAAAGGCTTAGTGAGGAAGTCCTCTCTCCAAGCAATCTTCTGACGGCAGGCAGATCTTGCCAGGTTATCTGGGGTGTGCTCACCTTGCTGAGTGCAAAATCGCTGCAGTTATCATGAGAGTTGAAGAGACAGAAAAACACTAAATGGATAGAAAAAGGACCCCTCCCCACTCGTGTCTAGTAGGAAACATATATGGAGCCACAATGGGTGAGGAAAGGGAAGAAAAATAACCCTAATTAACAAAGAAACAGGAAAGAGAAGGAAGAGAACACTTTCTCGTGGAACCGTGAGTCACGAGAACTCTCTGCAGCAGATGTTAAAAAGTGATTTCGTTTTGAAGACAGAGAGAGGACTTCTTTCCAGCCATCTAATCCCAAACGCAGCTGGCTCTTCTGGCAACGTGCCTCCATCTCTGGTAGTTCACTGAAGGAATACGTGTCTGCAGAGTCTTTTTCGGAAAGGGTCCAAGGCAATCGGTTGTTTGGAGCAGATCTCTGGGCCAGGCGGCCTTCCTAAGTCCGAGGCACAGTAGACCGGTCTCTTCTAGGCTGTCCTTGCTGTGATCAGCGTCAAGAGCCAGCGTGAGAAAAGCTCTACTTATGTGGGGTCTGTCTTTGCAGAGCGGGGCTGGAACACACTTAAAGACTCAGCTAAACCACTGAGGGTTACCCTGCTGACAGAGCCGTTAGCTGGACATATGCACAGAATTAACAGCACCAAGAAATGCTCAGGAACAGCTTCCCTAGCCCAGATAAAGTTTCACTGCAGATCCCAGCCTTTCCAAAAGAAAAAACCTCCTCAAGAAGATGGACATATTAGTCCAGTGCTTCTGGTTCCTAAGGGCCAAAGAAGTGTGCGTGTTTGTGATAATCAAATCACAGTAGAGAAAGAACTTTATAGACAATGGCACAGAAAAAAAAAATTACAGTTCTGGTGACAAGGAGGAAGCAGAGGCAAGATCTGGTTCAGGCACTACATTGTG